TATATATACAGATTTATTTCATGAAAATTCTGTGCAGGTAACATATACAGAAATATCAAACTTAAAACTTAGAAATAGGAATGATGGTTACCGAATGATGTTCAGAACATTCATATATTGAGAACATTATGTGTTGGAACACACACAACTTGAAACAGTAACTTCAAAGTGTTTTCCTTAAATTAAACCAGAATTAAAGGTGAATAATTATTAGGTACATAGATCTTTTTAACACRTTATCATTCAGTGTTTTGTAGGCGACTAATGTCCAGCTCCAACCCTTCACCGTTGGACCCTTCCTCCTCAGAAACGTTAGAATCACCATCGCTTCCTGAATGATACGGCTCAAATATATAGGGTTGCAGTCCTTTATTAGAACCAGCTGCTTCTTGTTCATCACTCAAACCGGCTTCTTCTTCCAAAACTGAAGATAAATCGCTCAATTCTTCACTGAATTTACTTACTACGTCCTCTGTTTCTGTAAACTCCGCCATAGTTGTTTACATTTTGGGTTACCCGGGATGCATCACAAAAATGTGACCCGATTTCTAAAGAAAGAAAAACTGCGATGCACAGCAAAGTGATGGAATTTAAAGTATTTTATGAGAAATATTTATTATTAAAAGGTTCTGTGTACACAGAATGAAGGCGTGGTAGCTCTTCTTTCTAATGATGTCTTTGTTTTAGCATGTCACAATCACTTTAACAGTCGCCCCTGAAATTTCTTAGAAATCTTTCAACATTTTTTTATTTTGTAAGGGTGTCGAGCTAAAAGTAAGAACCAGAGTCATGTGACACTGRTTTTCAAACTAAAACCCCCCGGTAGCATCTGGAAATGTTTTGATGGCAGACATAGCACCATTTTTGCCCACCAGTGGAACAAAGACTGTCTAAAAGAAACTCAAACCATTGCTGTCATCCTGTGTGTCACTCTGACTGCTATCAAAGTACAAATCAAAACAAAGTGCTTCTTTAAATTTTGTGCATGTTCATTTGTTACAAAACACTAATCCGTTGTGTTCTGTTAGTGTTTCGGRCTAGAGTTTTCGGGAAGCTTTACAGAGGCGAGGAGACTCGTTACGATGTCCAGATCATCCACACATACCGAAACCGCTTTCGCCTGGAGCACCGAGAGTTCCTTTGGGTCCCAAATCTGTGCAACTGTCCCAACCTGGAGGTAGGGAAACAGTACATCCTGATGGTGCGGCGCCACATAAACTACGAGCACACGTTAAACCGCATCCTTCTGGAGGAGGACAGCTATGTGGTGCCGTACAGACCCAGAGAGGACGAGCTGCTGAGACCACTGGAAAGGCTCTGCAGCAACAGAGGGCCCAAACAACCAGAAGAACTGAGAGGAAGAGCGTAGTTTGTGTCCAGAACAGAGGCTCAGACTAAAACTGATTTGCTGGCCATGTTTCGTCAGTGAACCTTGAAGTTGATGACCTAATGAGCTTTCAGCTGTGGCGTCGTTGGTGGGTGACGACAGCTTGATTTGAAACTGGCCACATAAACAAAGACGTTCAAGTTTCTTTACCACCATGACCAGCTTACTGTACCAAATAGAGCACTTTAGGTGGATGCTTGTGCCCACTTTAAACAAACACCAAAGAGAAGAACATTGACTGAAACAGACTGTTTTTTTCCCCACAGCAATTCTTCTTATATTTGTCCATGTGTGTATTTGTGTGTGTGCAAATTTAAAGGAAACGTCCACCTAAAGAAGTCTTGCATCAAATTCCACTGAATTCAATATTARCATATTCTGAGAAACCATTTCTCAGATTAATTTAAACCAACACTCCAGTGGTCATAAGTGGTGATGCATTAGCAAATATAATGAACTCTGTGTCTGTCTGACTGACTTTTTAATGCAGTTTTAAAGTTAGTTTTTTATTTCTTGAAGTAAGGTTGTGTGAAGTTGTCATGAATAGTTGATATCTTACCTGCATTACACAGCAATTCAAGAAAACCATACTGGTTTCTMAGTACTAAAGAGGCAGTTTTTTCAGAACAAAAAACTAAAGGATTATAAACAAGTTTCACCTGCTTCGTAAAGTCRTCTYAGTTCTACCTAATTCCTTGAATACGTTTATTTTGTTTAAAGTATGAGTGTAACGGTACATGTTTCATACCAAGCCACCGCCATGGTACAGATGTGAAGGTCCATATACACTGTATACACCCACACATACCCACATCCCCAACACACACACACACACACACACACACACACACACACACACACACACACTTTTATTTTACCTCACTTGTAAATTTTCAAGTTCAGTCAGGGTTTAAGCTCAGCCTTCGATCTCTATTGATAGGCATCTTTACACAACAACTGCATCCAAATTCAGAGGCTGCATCCTTCGAAGGCAGAATTTGAATGCTGATTGCATCACAGTGACGAGCCAAAGGCTGTCCAAATTTGAAGGCTCCTCRCGGCCCACAAATGCACCCTTCTTACCCCTGATTTGAGGGACAGGTCCAGTGTCTTTTTCTCAGCCCACCCTATCCCAAGATGCATKGTGGGCCGACTGGAAGTTTTTWTGTTTGTTTGTAATGGCATACAAAGCGAGAGATGAAGTGAGTGTCATGAGTACAATTTTAATTAAAAAAATCAGGCAGTACAAAAATTTGAATGTTTAAAGCGATTGTGTTATTAGGTTTTTGTCATTTGCATCGACAKGTTTTTAACATTATTTTTGTCAGAAATCMCCATAAACRAGCCCGTGGTGCCCTTAGTTCTTCATGTATCGACTCTAAGCTGATTTCATGAATTTATAACATTAATATTTTTGCTAATTTTGRTTTATTTTCACTCGTATTTGGTTCTGTTTAGCCCCCTCATGATTGCTAGGAGTCAGGACATATGTAGGGGTAATGACGGGCATAAAGCTGAAGGCTATACCATCCGTATTCTGAGCCACTTTCAGTCAGTCTTCTCGGTCGACAAAGAACCCAGCTCATAGCGTTGTTGAGACTGATCTCAGTCATAAGACTGGTCTTAAGACCACTTTTTAATGGTCTTGGTCTTGTCTCGGACTCCACTGCATTTGCACTCTGTCTTGTCTTGGTCTCGGACATTGAGGACTCTGAATTAYGATTCATAACCAGTCAAGACCACAACTGTGGAAATTTCACTAAATAGTTTTCATAAGATGTAAAATGAACTGATTCAAATTCAAACCTGACTCATTGCTAGTTATGTATTTTTGTTAGAAATGCCACCCTTTCCCAAGTAGGGGTCTCTGCAGAACATGTTGTCCTGTGGGCAGAGATGTCCCAAATCGTCATTGGCCAGGTCTTATAGTGGGCGGTGACGTCTCTGCTTGTGATTGGCAGAGGTGTGATGTGGGCGGAGATGGCCCAAGAGACGTGATTGGTCAACACATTCTCACTCCCGAGTCGTCACATATTGACGTTTTTCAAAGGTCCCTTTG